AAAGTTGCCTCAAAGCTACCACTTTAATTTTCAAGAACCAAGTAAAGGGGGGGGGGAATCTAGTCAGTAACAATGCTGCGTTGAAAAGCAATAAAATCAAAATTAAGTTATAAATAATTTAAAGCCTGTCATGAAGATGTATTAATAATTCATCAGATAAATAATTTACTAAATAATCAAATAAATAAATAATGAAATACATAAATAAATCAGCAAATAAATAATTCTGCAAAATAACCTAAACAATAAGTCACTAAAATAAATGACAACTCAACAACACTATAATAATTTTCTAAAATTCTGATAGTTTTAAATAAACAAATGTATATAAAATAGATTAATCTTGGTTAGATAAAAAGATACTTTCTGTGATATTGGTGAATTTCTAATTATGTTACAAGAATACACTTCATATTTTACAAAAATGAAGCAATCCTGGTAACTTAACAAGACTGCAATTATAAAGTATGCTTTTACATTCCATGTAATTCATCTCCACAAACTAATTTTTCATCAAATATATATAGGCAGTTTATTTGCAAAATGCTTAATTTACATTTTCTTTTCAGTGCAGTACTTACAATATTACTATAGTCCTTCTTGGTCGTTGTCTTACAATCTTCTCCAAACCTTCAGAAGTTTTGCTGTAAGGGAGAAACAATTGGAATAACCTTAATTATTACAGATGGTATCTCATTCATTAGTGGATGACAACAATTTATTTGAAAGCATTCAAAAGGCTGTTTTATAATTCTACAAAGCAATTTAAAAGCGAAAGAACCATTCCCATCTACTAAGTACCTAAAGTTTTTCAAAGTCTTTTGTAGAATGATTTCAGGCACACTGATCACTGTTGTGTTTAAACTGACACACAATCTGTGCAAACTGGCACTTTTTCAGAGAGAAGGACAAAATGTGAGAGGACAAAGTGCTTGGCTGACTTCTAAAGCTTATTCTATATGGCTGACATTCATACCCCTTGGAATCAGGCAAGGATTTCCAGATATCTACTTCTAGGAAAGTAGTAGTCCTATTAATCTGCAATAGCAAATTCAAATGTAGAATTATCAGATCAACACATTTATTATCCTATAAGCAAGTCTATCGGAACATAAACAATTTAAATTGAAAAGAAAAGCTACTTATGTTCTTCAATAATAATCTTCAATAGTGGAATATTTCAAATCAAAGTTTCTCAGGAGTTATTTCAGTGTCAAGACACTTGACCAAGAGCTGACAACATTATTTGAGGGCCTGAAAACCAGTAAAGAGCCCCTACCTTTGGGAAGGCTGCACCAATACAATGCATCAAAACTGTGCTGAAATTTCTGCAAAAGTTTCAATTTTGGGAAGAGAGGGGAAAATCACAATTTAAGTCCTTATTTGAGAAATTCAGAAACTTTAAGCTATGTGCAATTAATTTTCTTCTCAAAACTTTCCCATTCATATTCCCATCGTAAAAATATTTTCACAATAATCAAAAAGTGACAACGATCAGGTCCAAAAATTATCATTTCAAGCTGTTCTAGGGGAGGGAGCTATAAGGAAACATTTTCCCCCTCAACGAAGATATCAATAATAAAAATAGAATGTGTTTTGTGGTCTGGTCCCAAAAAATATTGTCCACTGAAATAAATAAACCTGTAACTTATTTTATAAAAAGTCTTAAGACAATTATCCAAAAATAGCACCTATATAGTATTCTAATGGCTTGCTCATTTGAAATACCCTATTTACATTCCATTAATACATGGATCATTTTAAGTAATAGCTTCAAAAAATAAATCATAAATGAATAAAATTTAAATTAGTCACTAAAAGTGCACTATCAAAGAACTGTTATATTCCTTTAGGCAGAGGCAACAATATTTTGGATGTCACTGACTGTACTTTTAAGGTGTTGTAGTCTCTGACAGCTGCGAGAAGCATGCTTGATTATATAGCATTATCAATAGAAGGCAAAAGCGATAGAATAATTCTGGCAGGTAGTGTTTTCTACATATAGCAAACTTGCCACTACATTTCATCTTCATGATTTGTGTAAATCAGGGGTCCCTAAACTTGGCAACTTTAAGACTTGTGGACTTCAACTCCCAGAATTACTCAGCCAGCTTTGCTTTAAAGTTGCCAAGTTTGGAGACCTCTGGTGTACATTATGAGGGCTGCAACAGTAAAACTGGCCATCTATAAGAGCAGAAGTTGCCAATTCATCTTAGGAAGAAAAATTAGCCTAAACTACATATCACATACTGAGAGAAATAACCTAATCAAAGAGCTTGATTAGAATTTACTCAACTATTTCAAAACACATTTTAAAATTATATATTTCAGCAGGTTTTAATATTTCCTATAGAAGGATTTCTGCTGAAAGGTATTCTACTGTATGTAATACTTGCAGTAATAGATACAGGTAATAGATAATGCCCATACTAAAAATGTTCTGCATGCCATGCTACTTCCATAGGAGTTAAATAGAGGGAGGAAAAACCTGATACATTGACTAATAGATGAGAAAGGGACCTTTTATTATCAGAATGAGGACAAAAAAGTATAAATACAAGAGTATTATGAGAAACTGTATGATCAGGAGAAAATCCCTGAAAATAGAATACAACAATATTTGGAAAAATATGAACTTCTTAAAGTATCCAAAACAGTTAAGATCATGTTGAATGAATGAGTAACTATGATGGGATTTACAGAACCAATTAAGAGACAGAATAATAATAAAATGCCAGGGCCTAATGGGCTACCGGCAGAATTTTACAAACAACTACAAGATATAGTAGGCCCAGTTATGTTGGAAGTTTATAATGAAGTTCTGCTAGAAGTAAAAATACCAAATTTATGGATGGAAAAAATATTACTCTTATACCGAAAGATGACTCAGATTTAATGCAGACAAAGAACTATAGGCCAATATCTCTATTGAATGCAGACTATAAAATATATGCTTTGATAATAGCAGAAAGATTTAAAAGGTTTTTGAATTAATTTATACATGTAGATCAGAATGGATTTTTGCCAAAGAGGCAGATTAAAAACAACATGAGAATGATTTTAAACACATTGGAGTATTATGAAACACATCCTGGAAAACAAATGGCATTGACAAATGCACAAAAAACATTTGAAAACGTTGATTAGCAATTTATATTATTACAATTAAAATACATGGACTTTGGGGAGAGATTTATCAATATAATTAAAGCAATATATCACAAACAATCAGCCAAGGTGATGGTAAATGGGGACATGGCGGAGACCTTTGATATTAAAAAGGCAGTAGACAGGGATGTCCACTGTCCCCTTTACTATTTATACTGACTTTGGAAGTGTTAACCAGAAATGTTAGACAAGATGAAGAAATAAAAGGAATGGAAATAAAAAAGAGAATATAAATTACAGGAGTTTGCAGGTGATTTGGTCTTTATACTAGAAGACCCACTAGAAACTGGTTGATTAGAAAAGCTAGAATGATACGGGGAAGTCACAGGATTGAAAATAAATAAAAGACAAAAATTCTAATTAAAAATCTTACAGATATATAGAAAAGAGTGTTGATGGAAGAGTCGACAGTGGCAGATAAAGGGAGAAGGCCTGTAGATCTCCTCAATGGACACCTGGGTAGCCCAGGCTGCCGAGATGGCTGCACTCCAAGTAGAGTGCTATAAGGTTCTTGGGCACCAGCAGAGATAGAATCTTGTATGCAGTGGAAATACAAGCCCTGATCCATTTGCCCATCATGGATGGGGAAGCCTTGTTCCCTAAAGAAGCTGGTTGGAAGGACACAAACATCGCTTCTGTTTTGCAAGATTGCAGTTCGTTTTACATAGATACAGGAGGCTCTCCGCACATTCAACGTATGCCATTTGTATTCCAACTCATGTTGAGGCCTAGGGCAGAAATCTGGTAGGACTATTTCTTGTGCCCTGTGTAACCAAGAATTAATCTTTGGAATAAAGGTAGGGTCTAAGCGTAGCAGTACTCTGTTCTTGTGAAAAATGCACAAGTCCTGTCTCACTGAGAGATCTGCCAACTCCAACACCTTTCTGGCCGACGTGATAGCCACCAGGAAGAACACTTGAGGGTCAAGAAACGGAGACTCACCGACCTTAAAGACTCGAATTGGGGTCCCATCAGAGCCTGGAGTACCTTTGGGAGATCCCAAGTGGGATGTCTATGAATGCAGATTCGAGGTTTCCCTCAAAAACCTGCGTATTGATGGGTGGTGGGATAGAGAGTTATAATTATCTCACAACAATACTGAGGACAAGACTGCAACCTGCCTGCAGAGTGTGTTTGGTAAGAGCCCTTTATCTAGACCTCTGCAACTCTGAGACAGAGGCTGATGTAGGGTCCCAGGCCATCTTAGAACACCAACTGCAAAAAGCTCTCCAGGTGGTATCATAGATGTGATTTGTTGATGGTTTATGTGATGCCTGGATGGTTTGAACCACTTTATCTGGTAAGTTAGTCTATTTCAGAGGTTTCCACTCAAGCGCCATACGGCCACCTGGAACCACTGAGGTTCTGGATGGAGTAAGGCCCCTTGGCTGAGGGAAATCCTGCTGGGTGGGATTCTCCACGGTTGAGCGACCGACAGGGCCAATGAGGCGCCAGAAGTACCAGCTCCGCCTTCTCCTCCAACATCTTCCAAAGCATGGCCAAAACGGTAGGAAGAGAGGGAAAGGCGTAGAGGAGACCTGGAGACCATTTGTTCCGAAGTGCATTGGTCCCCTCCACTCCCTGGGTGGAAAACCTGGTGAAAAATCTGCCTACCTGCGCATCCTGGGGAGTGGCAAATAGGTCTATTACTGAGAAACTGAATCTGTTGGACAGTTCCTGGAACAGGGATGGATGAAGGCTCCACTCCGGGTGGTTGACCTTGGCCCGACTCAACCAGTCGGCCTGGATATTGTCAACCCCCAAGATGTGGTCTGCCCTGAGGGACAGAAGGTGCCTCTCCGCCCATGATCGGCTTACTGCATCAAGGATTTAGACCAGGTCCCTCCTTGTCTGTTGACATGGGCCTTGGCAGCCATGTTGTCTGTCATAATCAACATGTGGGACCCTGTCACCTTGTCCTGGAAGTGTCTCAAAGCTAGGAAGATAGCCCTGAGTTCGAGCCAATTGATGGGGCAAGACCTGTCTGTCTGGGACCAATCACCTTGAGCTATCTTGCTTTGCAGATGCGCCCTCCAGCCATAAAGACTGGCGTCTGTCATGATCATGAGCCTGTCCGGCTCCTTGAAAAAATGGCCTTTCCTGGTGGCCTGGGACGGAAAGAACGAAGGACCTGTGAAGGAACTCAGACTCTGATGGATAAGTAACAGGTTCCGGCCCATTGAAAAGGCAGCAGGAACCATTGCAGACTTCGGGCATGGAATCAGGCCCACGGAACGATGCCTACACAGGAAATCATCTTTCCTAGGAGCTGGGACAGAAGAGACAGAGGAACTGTGTGCTGCTGTCGAATCCCGTTTATCAAGTTGTTCAGACTCTCTTGATGATCTGGGGAAAGGAAAACCTCTGAGGGTCATGTCGATGATAGTCCCTAGGTATAGGAGACGGATGGTCAGTAGAAGATAACTCTTGTTGAAGTTTATGGAAAACCCGTGTTCCTGCAGGAGCTGCATCATGG